TTATAACAACTATTTACTGATAAAAAATGAATATTAATCATGAATATAAGCTTATAAAGTATCTCTCTGGCTCTCTCTTACAAACAAATAAAATAAACTGTGTTTTTAAGTTCCACCTTTGAAAATTTGATTTTCGGAAACTTCAGTGATCAATGATTTTTTGAAACGGCTGAACCTTCGATCTCCGGAAACTTTCGGATCACTGTTAGCAAAAACTCCGGAAATCCGGATTTTTTCCGGAGCACAATCAGCCCTGATTCAGCGAAGGCCCAATTATTTAAATCTTCAATAATAAATTAGAATATTTTACATTTTCTTAAAAAAATTTTTTAAATTTATAATGCTTCGTCAAACTGCTGCCGGCAGAACACTCCCCCCTTCAATATCTAAGAAAAAGATCAACAATTTGCAAAAGAACAACAGCACACCATAAATATTCTTCTTTCACACAAAATGAAATCGTATTGAATGATTAGACGCATGGTGAATCGCAGAAGTTTGATAAAATAGAATATACAAATTTATTAACAATGAAGCAGTAATTATCTTATTTAGATCTCAGAAATAGAATATTAAGCTCAGTAAAGCATAAGAAAAGAAGAGTGGACTTCCTGTTACTACCGGTTTACACCTTGTTGACAGCCATTATGGCTGTAAATATCAATCCGGAAGAAGGAGACAGACTCATTTCGCCTACCTGCAATAGGTCACGGCCGATTCCAAAACAAGTCGGCAGATGATTTTCTTTGAGTTCGATAACAAAATGAAAAACAACTGTCTGCCAAAGTGATTCCGAAACTGTGATGTAACAATCACGGCAATCGTCTAACTTAGTCAGAGAGGATCCGCAATGATTTGCAATCACGTGAATTTAATTTTTTTTTTAAAATTAGAAACATATTTAAAATGAAATCGAGCAGTTCTTTATTATAATTATTATTACTTATGAGTAATGCACATAAAAATCGCACATCGTAAGTGACAAATCACGCGAAAAAAACGAATTACAGAGCAGCAAACAGGAACGCAACTAACTTGTATTTTTGGGAAGGAGGAAAAAGTCTTAATTAAATTAGTATTTAACTGTTTAGCTTTTCATTTCTAGTACTTGAACGAATTACAGTTTTAAATTTGTAAAAAGAATATTCACCTTGATCAGGGAAAAAAAAAGCATTTTGTGTTAAATGGCAATATATTGGCAAAAAGGGAAAAAGAAACCTACTTAATTTACTTATTAAAGTTTGCTGAGGTTTAAGATTTCCTTTAACTTTTTTTTCCTTTGCTGATATCAGAAAAGATATCCAGCTTCTTTTTACCATAGGCGCATAAAACAATTGTCTAAATTTGAAACGTAACAAAAAAGTAATAATGCACTATTAGTCTTTTTAACAAAGAAAATTCAAAATTTTACATTGATTTGTTGATTCATAACTCAATTAAAAAAATTTTAATTACAGAATTCCTTCGTAAATTCAGTTATACCACCCATCTTCATAGTACTTTGCGAACACGAGAAACTGATGGGCTGCAGTTAATACAGTACTGTTTCAAAATAGGACTTAAATAATGAACAAAACTGAAAGACACACCTACACAATTAATAAAGTTAAATTAACTCAATTTCTCGTAGTTATATGCTATTAGATTAAGTAAATGTTTTTAGAAGTTTATCCCATTAAATATTAATTGTAGTACATTGTACCTACATTAGTATAATTGGTACCCATTAAAACTGCACCAATTACCACAATACCAGTAGTGTCTATTACAAAAATTAATTAAGCATCATTACATTATATGTATAAATAAAAATTGCATATTAATATGTCCAAATAAAAACAAAGATACATCGAATTTAGTTTTAAAATAATCGTCCTTAAAACAAGGAGGTCAATGATGTTTTTGAATGGCTCAGTAATTTGAGATAAGATACACTCCTTCATTTTATTTAGAGCATGAATGCCAACTATAACCAAAGATGATCATGTCATGGGCAAAATTAAAACTTTTTTTCTAATTTGATTAAATCATTACGCAAAAACTCCTACTGCATTGATAATACATATGGTACTGACATTCAATTAACTACTACTTTAAAGTGATAGAACTCGAAAGAGACTGATAGCTTAATATTTATGTTCCATTTTTAGAATATTGTAGAAATTTATCTTGTTTATTATTTTCTAAATAATATGATTGACAATTCTGATAATTTAAATATGATACACTTTTATGTAAATACGGGACGAAAAATTATAAGCAAGATTATTTGTAAATAAAATTATGTAATTTTTGTTTTGTTTTTAAAAATATTTTTATATGTTGCAATTACCGTTCTTTCCTTTTCATTGTACACCATTGAAATTGGATATATAGTAATTTGAAAATACGAAAGAGCCGCGATGTGTTTTTGGTTTCTAATCTTACAAAACAAAATAATTGATTTTATAAAGTAAATCTTCTTGCTTGGAAAAAAAAAAAAAAAAAAAAAAACTACTACTTGCAAAATTTTCA